AAACCCAACTGGCAAGTTTTAGAAGCCAGGCATTCCTACACACTAAGATATTTTAGAAGCTTACTGACTGAAAAAGCATAAAGCTTTTATCATGGACATCTGACCTCCAACAGACAGCTCCTTTCACCTTTCAGTACAAAATTTTTTTTCATTTAACAGGAAGCACCCAGGAACCCCAGACTGTGCTTTCCAGAACAGAAAACAAATAGAGGGAAAGAGCTTTGCGCATGTGTAACACACTCCAGAACAGACCTGACTTTAGTTCTACTCTTTGTGTCCAAATATAGCAGTCAAAAGCTCCAGCAGGAGAGCTGGCACATGACCCATGGTACCCTGAACGTCTATCTTATGAGGGCTGTAGGAAAATCACATCTGTACGAGTCCCTTGTGCCTGCAGATACCTGGGGATCCTCTCCATCCACCTCGTGCTCTCCCAGCAGGAGAAAGGGTGACCTCAGGGACACGGTGGCACTCGACATCCTGCTGAGAGAGCAAGGAAACCTTTAGCATAAAGGTGAGTTGGAATCTAAAGCTGCCTTTCCTGGGAGCTTTGTGCAACCAAGAGGGGGAAAATTTGCATCTCCTTTGGTGCAGGTGTCAACAGAGACCAACATGGCTTTTGCCTTTTTCAGACAACTGAGCCCTTTTTGGCTCCCTGGCAGCTCCAATGGCACCAGGACCCCCTTCCTGCACACCCACGGGTGTCACACACAGGCACCCACACACCTTTGCTCCAGCCCACACGTGGCCAACATTTCCTCACCCTGTACATCCCAAGGGGAGTATTTTTGCCAGAGAGCTCAGCAGCCACTCTGTCCTTGCAAACTGCCTCCCTGCAAAAAGGGAACCGATTCTCCTGGACATTTCTCCAACACTCAAGGTCTTTTGAAGCTGCTCTCGTGGCACCAAACCTGCTCGGGGTCTCTCCCAGCTGTTGGCTCTCCGTGGAGTTAACAGGCACACACTCTATTCCATCCTCCCCCAGTCAAACCCAATTCTCACCGGCAGGACGGGCCCTGCCCTTACCTGTCCAAGCTCCCGGGCTCGGCACAGCCGTGGGGACGGAGCAGCTTCCCAAGGCAGCTCCCGCCCGGCAGGAAGCACAACTCGCCACACTCCACCAGCCGCTGGGCACGGACCTGAGCTGAGCCCCAGGGAGGGCACAACTGGACAGAGAAGGAGCAAAAAGCATTAATGCAGCACCAAGAAACTGACACCAGTCTTTGCCTCCTAACCCTGCACGGGGAAAGGCTTTGGGATTCCGAGGCAAACCCTGAGACACCCAGAGAACAACAGCCCCGCAGCCCCGCCACGGCTCCCCACGGGGTCACCCGGCAGGTAACGGGCTTACTCGGACCCCGCTGCCCAGCACAACGCGCCCCTAAACGCCCCCCAGCTGCCCCGGTCCACAAACCCAGCGGCCAAGGCGCTCTCCCCTCCGCAGCCCGGGCAGCAGCGGGGCCGCGCCCTCAGCCCTCACACACAACCGGCCCCACCCCCCCCGCCGGCCCTTTATACCGCGGGCCGGCAGCGCTGCCCAATCAGCGCTCGAGCGCCTCCGCCCAATCCCAGCCCGCCCGGCCCTGCGGCCCCGCCCCGCCCGCTCAGCCCGGCCCCGCCCCTCGGCGCGGCCCCGCCCCCCGCTCCCTCAGCGCGGCTCCCGCCGCCGCCGCAGCCCCGGCGGGCGCTGCTGGGGCCGGGGAAGGGCGGGTGGGAGCTCCGCGGCCACGGCCCGGCCGGGAGCTCTCCCGGGACAAGGGGAGTGGGGCGGGGAGCGGGGCCTGCGGGGACAGCGGCGTTTTTGGGGGCGGGCAGGGCGGGGCCGGGGGACGGGGCCGGCGCGAGCTCTGTCAGAGCAAACCTGGTCATCGTTCCAGTGAATTTCTCTTCCAAACTGTGGGATCGTAGGGTTTTCCCGGAAACAATAACAGGGACAGAGGTGAGGTCACAGGCTTCCAATTCTAATGATTTGGTGGACGTAAGAGTCATCCCGGTATGTTTTACACTCCCCTGTTTCTTTCTGGAATAATTTTAAAATTATTCCCGACCCCCGGACGGGGCCGGCCCGGGGGGTCCCCGTTTCTTTAGAAAGCAGAAAGTAATAATTCCTCCCCCAAAGAATCAAGGAAGGGGGATGACGAAACCAGATTTGCTTTCTTATTTATTATATCTAAATCCCCGTGAGTAAGTAACCTAATCATATCCTGCATCACTTAATGGCTACACAAAACTACTCATGTTTTCAAAGGAAATGAGGGAAATGGCACTCAGGTAGTGACTCACTATTATGGAAAATACTGTATTGGCCCATTTTGGAAGGGAAGAATGAAAATCACTAGTGCCTGAGGTAATACTTGTCCTTAGGAAATGTATTCCCCCGTTTTGGTTTTGTCGTTGTCTCCAATCACAGGCATCGTGAACTCACTGCTGAGTTTAACTCAAAAGTCAAGCAAGTGTGACCAGGCTCACTCATTTCTGTTAATCAAAGCAAACTTTTAGTGCCTCTGGGAGACGCTTGGGTATTTTTCTGGTCTGTGAAGAGGCCCTTCTGAAAAAGTTTACATTTTTCACACCGTTTTCATGACAGTGACCAGGTGCAAAGCAGAGCCTGTTAATGCAGCAGAGATTAGAGCTGAATATTCACAGACACACACAAAAAAAAATCCCTGATGCTGCTATTTCAACTGCAATGCTCTGCAACAGACACTCAAGTGCTGCTCCTCAGTAAGGAAAGAGGGAAAAACCCTTTCCTTAGGTGGGAGGATGAAGTTCTGTGGTGTAGGACTATTTATATGCTTGTAAGAAATACTTCCAAGTGATGCAAAATTTATTCATTTTCTGCAATATAGTTGTTTTTGTTATCCCAACCTTTTTTTTTCTGAATATTTTTTTTCTAATACAAAGAAGGAGACTGAAGAAAAACACCTCAGTTTGCAGAAAATAAACTTTAATGTGCTAAGCATTTACATTTTCATGGTTTTATTGGGCTGAGGAACTGGCAATACAGCGGCTCAGAAAAATAAGGACCAAATTTATACACTCTTGAGAAATTAATTAGCGTTAGTTATCAAGACTGGTGATCAAAACTGCTGGATTATTTCCCTGGATGAACAGCAACTTCCAGTTTGGATCTCAACTTCCTTTGCTTCGCTCTCAGCCAGTCACAGAGCAGGGACTGAACTGAATAGAAATAGAAATAGAAAAGGCCTCAAAAGAGATCTAATGATCATTCACCACTATTTGGGGAGGTTTTTTATTTCCTCCCTGGCTTATTTCACAACAACATTCCTCTGCAAACAACCCTGGCTTTCTGTTTTCTCTGCTCCTCTGTTTTTCCAAGTGCAAAATTGATGTTGCAGAGCTTAAGTAATAAACATGGTTTAGAGGAATGAAATGTGCCGGGCTAATATACACACACACAGCTTTATTGACATGTGAAATGTTTGTCTGAATGATTTCATACTTACATGGTATGATGAAAATTCACTACAAAAACAGGTAAAAAGTCAAGTCAGAGGTTTTTAGCCGGAGAAAATAAACAAGAGCCTACAATTTACCCTTCCCCTAAAGTTAAACTAACTTCTTCTGCCAACAGTAACACAGCAGAGCTATATCAACAGAATTATATCAACACTTCTGCTGTTTCAATATGAAGTTCAAGCATCTGTTAACAACTTATTGCTTGTTGTTGTTGTTACTTGGCCAGATCTTTTTCTCTGTATACAACCTATTCATGCCGGAGTTCACTCTCTTTTCAGTACTTATTTACTTTTCCCACACTCTGCTTCTAATTTTCTCTCTCAACCCCCAATAATTTGAAGTTTCTTATAGGCCCTTTTGTCAGGGACAGTTTTCTCTTAGGATCCTTGGTTTCTTCCCAGGTGGTTTCTTCACCAGAGCACTTCTTTCTTGTGCCAGATGTTACAGCAACAGAGAGGTAATAGCTGACAAAAGAGACATGGAGAGATCAATTCATCCACAAAAGAAAACACAGAAACTGTCTTTTCTTTGCTGAAAATGGGCATTTTAGGTTGTTTGGTTGGGTTTTTTTCCAAAAAAAAAATGGGTGAGAGGCATTGAATAAGCATGCTGAGAAATTTTCTGGAAATCAGTTTATTCACCGTGGGAGTAAAAAAGCAAGCAAACAAAAAAATCTTTTACAGCCCAATTCTGGTAGTAGGGAGGGGTTTGTGGTTTTGTTGTTTTGTTTTTTTTTAATGCAAAATCTGCTGTTATCTTGAAGAAAAAAGGAGATGCTCCTAATTCCCTTGGGAGAGAACAGCAGTTATAATAAAAGAAGGCTACAATTGACTGGGCCTCAAAAGAGAGACAGCTTCTCAGCGCTGAGACAGGATTAAATACATACACCCAGTCTGTGCCAGGAGGTTTGCCTGACCTGTGTCTCAGAACTGTCAGGGATGAGAATCTTAAATTATTCCTGGGTTATTTGCTATGGAGCTGTGTGGTGAGTTAGAAAAGTTATCAAAGCTGCTTCTCTTAAAAACCCCACAGCTCCCAAATGCTCCGTTTTATGGACTCGGGCAACTGGAAACTGCATCCCATCATGTTATTTGGTCAGAAAACAGGAGTCTCCCCCCTCTCTCCAGCTGCAGGGATTTTGGGAGCACCCATGGGGCTTGCACTGTCGTATCCAGTTTTCCTTATCCCAGTGGAATGCCTCGAATATCGACCTCACCTCCATCACATGGATTTTCCTTTTTCCTTCCCCTTGCTAAAAGAGGAAACAAATACCCCCTCTGGCAATTCTACTTCCCCCTTGACAATCAGCCCAAGCCAACCTAATGAGTGCCATTAAGCAGCTTGGAAAGAAACAGCAGCAGACCAGCAGCATCCTTGACTTGATTCCAGTTTTTGCCTCTGAGGACACCTGAGGACTATCTCTTCATCCTGCAAATCACTTAAAGCAACTACATCATCGAGAAATAATCCTGAGCCAGAGAGTCTTTCCCCTCTCTGCTCTGTATAACCAGAGTTCCTGAAGAAGCACATCTTTTACACCTTACAAACCTGGGAGCAGTGCTTTACCTTCATGCAACAGGACTGAACAGTGATTTATTTTTTTTTACTCATCTTTCTTAGATTAAAGGCACGTCACTGAAGGTCATCCTTCTTATGTGCCACCGAGTCAGAGCCAGCAGCAGAGGAGGAGCAGGAGCAATCCCAGCATATCCTGATGGCTTTTGTTTAAAAAAGTTCATGTGAGGATGTAGTTTAATCCAAACTACTCAGAAGTCCAAAATCAAACCCTCTACTTTGTAATTCCTCACATTTATACGTGCCCCATATTTATAAGCAGCATTAGCCTCCAAACCATAATTAATAGAATTCCGTGCAAAGTTTTAATTAAAAACTAACACCTAATTCCTCGAAAAGGCTGAACTCAAGGTTTCATGATGTAACAGCTCCACCTACCTGGCTTTTTAGGCATCACCACGCGAGCTGAAAAGTCTGCTTGCCAGGCCTGCTCGAGCACACCTGGGAAGGCATTTTTACATTTGTAAGAACAATTTTCTTATACGATAGCTAGAAAGGCAAAATAAAGATGAATATTAAGGCCAGTAGAAAAGTATCTCGGCTTACTGGGTGTATGCCATAACTCCAAGACAGATTTCTTACTAAAACACTTGTATTTAGACATGCAGTTCAACAAACATCATGAACATCAGGAAACACACCATGAAAGCACACGGGATTAGCTTCATGTTTCACTCTTCCCCCACCATGGAATTGCTTTAACATATAGAAGGGGAGAATAAACAATAACTAGTGGGAAATAATTTTTTAAAAACCAACCATGATCCAAAACAGAGATGTTATTTCCATGTCCCATCGCCTGTCTTTGTAACAGTCTCAGAATCTGCATACGTGCTTTTATTTGGAGTTTTTGCCCGTCCCACAGTCCAGAGGGACCTCTGGCAGCTGCACTGCCCAAGAGCTGCCGTGGGACTGCTGGGGAATGCACCACTGGAAGCAAGACAGAAATAAATTAATTCAGAGCACTACCTCGAAAGATTGAAGGAAAAAAAGCCCCAACATTCCATTGCCTCCCTTTTTAAAGGGAACTGTGTGAGCTCCGTGTGAGCCGGGAGGCTCCAGGCTGTGGGAAAGCACCCGGAGGGATGGAGGGAACACGATGTTCCTCTCCTCGCTCCCAGCACAGCCCTCGGGATACTCGGCACCACAGCTGGGGGATGGCCCTGGGGGTGCTTCTCTCCATCCCCATGGATCCTGCTGCCCCCCCAGAGCCAGAACCACCTCCGGAGGGGGGATGGAATGCCAGGCACGGATGCTCGGCTGGAAGGTGACACATCCCCAGCAGCACCCAAATCCCTGCAGCTTCGTGTTTGTTGCTGCCCAGCTCAGCTGATCCCCCTCTTCAGCATCCCTGGACATTGTCCTCCTTCTCTAATCACACCTTGGTAATGACTCAGAATGGCAGCAGCTCCAGTGCCAGCTCGGTCACTGCACGAGTCCTTGTCCCAGCCCTGCCACGGACACACACGGGAGACATCCATGGACACACAGGCCTTGCTTGTACAATTCCTGACCCAAACCCTTGCCTTTCCTGCCCAGAGATGAGGGAAATCGAACAGAATATTAAAAAACAACCTTCACTGAGAGCAGTCACCACCCCAGTCCTTCAGGCTCTGCAGGAGTCTTGTGGGGAACAGACCCAAATTTGAATCCTACATCTAAATTTCTAACAGGTTTTGTTAGAAAGATCCTGGACAGTAACTCCTAGAACAGCATGCAGAGACTGCACAAGGAGTAACAGAAGGTTTGCCATGCAGAACAAAAGTTCCTTTTTTTTCCCATATTTTTTCAATAATTTCACCTCTGTAGTAATTACTGACTTGGGTTTCTGCTGAAGGGCTGGACGTGTCCATTGAAGATTCAGGGGTCTGGCAGGTTGTTTATGGCTGATCTTGACTGGCCCAGACCAAACCCAACCACCCCCACCACTGCTTCACCCCAAATTTGGGTCAAATATTGATATAGTTTATAAATCCTCCTCTTCCCTGCTACTCAGTCCTTCCTTACACATCCATGGAATAGATTTACTCCACCTTTTGTTCCCAACAACAGCTCTCTAGCCAAAATCCCAGCTCTCACAGACACAAACTAAACACACCTAAGGCAATGGTTCCATCAGCACCTGGGGGTTGGGTTGGAGGAACACAATCTTACCGAGTTATGAGCCAGGGGATGGCATTTGGGAACAGCTCCTGCTGACTGGAAAGGATTCAGGTCCCAGGCTCAGTCTGCAGCTTGCAGTCGATCTCAGCCATTACCAACCAGCTCAGCCACTCCCTCTGAAATGCCACCTCTCTCCCCTGTACATCACCCCCCACTTTCTTACATATAACAGAGGTCGTGTCCCCTCTAAATTACCCCCAGTTTTCAGCTAAAAGGGTCACTTCTGTCCCCTCTAAGGAACCTCAGTTTTTCTGTCCAAAATTCTGCCTCAGTCATCTCTGAGTTCCCAGCCTTTCTCTCAGAAAGGCTCCTTTTTCCTCGATAAGGTACCCCCGGATTCACCCCACAAAAACGGTGATTTTGTTTCATCCAAATTACCTCAGCAATTCTATGGAAAATGTCACCTCTGCTCCCCCTCACAATTTGCCTCTGCTTTTCCCTCACAAACGTTCCTTCTGCCCCCTGCACAGGAACTCAGGTTTGATCCCCAAACCTCCCCTGCCCAGCTCAGGTTTTACCCCAGAATTGTCCCTTCCTGTCCCGCTGGGAGAACCTTGATTTTCCCCCCAGAATGTCCCTCACTAATTGCCTCGGTTTTAACTCAAAATGTTCATTTTACCCCCCCGGGAGAGACGGGAGACCACAAGTCCCGGGTGCCCCGGGAACCCCCCCGGCCCCAGCCCGGCCCGGCCGCTCCTCCCCCGCTCGGTGCCACCACCCTGGGGTGACAGGGAGGGGACAGGAACAACCCCCGACACACCGAGCTGCCCCTGCTGCTGCACAGCGAGTGCCTGCCTCACATTTTCCAGCCCTTCAGTGTTTAACGTATTCATACAAAAGTTTTATTTTCATTTTCAAACCCTATGGATCCACGTTTGGAATTTATTATATCCTAAAATCCCGCATATAATATAGCAGATACGAGGATTTGTTTTGAAATCAGCTTTTATATGAATTAGTATTACTTGTCAACAGATTTAAAAATAACAAATTTAAAAGGCTTTAGTATTTTACAGAGACACACAACCCCTCCCTATGAATTTTTAGGCATTTTTGGGCTGTCCCCTCCCTTTTTGGGGGAACCCACCTGACCGCCTTGATTCCCCACTCATTTTCTCCACCACAACACCACCCCCCCAGTGACACCGGAGTGCCCCAAATGACATTATCAGAGATGATGACACAGAGCCCCCCCACCCCGCACACGTGTCCCCAGGGATGGGACGTGGCCGGGACATCCTCACTGCGACATCCCCGGGGCGCCGGTGCCGACATCATCACAGTCCGTGTGCCCCGGGGGCTGTCCCGGGGGGTCCCCTGTGGCTCCGGGGGGACTTGGAGGGGGGCAGCTCCCACCTTGGGGACAGCAAAGACAGGTGCCTGAGGGGGACAGCTCCATGTCCCCCCTCCAGACCCCACCTGGGGTGTTTCTGTGTTTCTGCAGCCCCCGTGGATCTGCTGATGGATCCCAGCTCGCCACCGCTGCCAAACCTCCCGTGGAGTGGCTCTCCAGGGGGGACAGAGCAGCTGTGGTCCCTCTTACCTGTGGGTGGGACACAGATCCAGCCCCTCCGTGCCACTCCCTCGGAGATCTCCCCAGTGCTGGGAGCGGGAGACTCCTCTGGCACGGCCGTGGCATCGTCGTAGCCATCCAGGGTTCCAACCATGGCATCGTCGTAGCCATCCAGGGTTCCAGCTGTGGCATCATCGTGGCCATCCAGTGTTCCAGCCATGGCATCGTCGTAGCCACCCAGGGTTCCTGCTGTGGCATCGTCGTAGCCATCTGGGGTTCTGTGCCCAGGCAGGGCAGGGGGGACTGGGACTGGCACGGGGGAACATGGCACTGACCCGGTGGCCATGGCAGGGACTGGCTGTGCCATCCCCCTCCGGCTGTGCCACCAGGGATGTGTTGGTGGCCCTTGGTCCCTCAGGGAAGGGCGATGCTTCTCTGCCCACTAACGAGGGGGGACCTGTCCCCTCAGCTCCCCAGCCCTTCCGTGTCCCCTGTCCCCAGTGCTCCCCGCTGGGTTCCTGCCCTGTGCCCCTACCTGGGGCTGCCCCGGTGTCACTCCCCTCCACGCTGTCCCCGGTGTAACACAGCAGCTTCTTCACGGAGCCCTCCCGCGGGGAACCTGCAGGGGGAAAACAGGGTCTTGGGGTGGCCAGAGGTGGCACCGCGGGTGACACAACCTCAGCCACAGAGCACGGCTGTGATGGGACCCAGGGACCCCCCACACCACGGGGAGGAGCCAGTGCTGTGCCACCAGGACCCGCTGCTGCGGTGGGACTGTGGGGCAGAGCCCCCCTGTCCGGGCAGAGCTGGGGCACGGGGGCTGCACCGACCTGGGCGACTGGGCACCTCCTGGTACTCCGGCATCGCGCTGTAGTCCAGCTCCTCGTAGATGGCGTCGGGGATGGCACCCACGGCTCTGCCGGGGCCTGCAACAAGAGGCAGCGCTCTCCCAGGGCCGTGGGCACCGTGGGTGGCACCGGGGGCACCCACTGCCCACCCTCCGAGCCGTTCCACACGGGGGGAGCCCCTGAACCCCCAAAGCGGCTCTGCCCCGGCACCCACCCGCCGGGACCCACCTCGGCGCCAAGCGCGGGCGCGGCACATCAGCACGGCCAGGGCGCCCAGGGCCAGGCACAGCAGCGTCCCCAGGACCACGCACAGGACCACCGGCACCGGCACAGTCCCCCTGGGCACCTGCCCGCTTGGCACCGGCACAGTCCCCCTGGCCACCGCAGGGCCGCTGCTGCTGGGGACAGCTGTGGGGACACGGCCAGGCAGTGAGGGCAGGGGGATCCCAGCCGGCCCGGTCGGGGGGCTGCTGGCACGGGCAGAGCTACCTGTGCAGGTGGCCCCGTCCGGGCACGGGGTGGTGGCTGTCTCGCTGGGGTTGTCACTGTCCTCCGCACAAGACACGTGGGCGTCCCCTCCGGGGCCGCAGGCCTGCAGGTGCCAGGGTGCCGAGGGGCACCCCCAGAGCGAGCGGGCCCCCTCCTCGCAGCCCACCCAGGCCAGCCAGGCGGGGGCCGGCTGCTGGGCGGGGCCGGGTGCCAGCTGCCCCCCGTCCCCGCAGCCCAGCTGCCGGCAGACGGCGGCGGCGGTGCCGGGGCTGGTGCCGGTGGCGCACACGCGGCCCCAGGTGCCGTTGTGGAGCAGCTCCAGGTACCCGCTGCAGCGCCCGCGCCCGCCCACCAGCCGCAGGGAGAGCTGCTCTGCGAGGGGTGCAGGGGGGTCACGGCACGGACGGGAACCCTCCGGGGGGCTCTGCTGCTCCCCGCCCCGGGGACACCCGACACTCACCTGAGCAGACGGCCCCGGCCCCGGCCCCGGCCCCGCGCTCGCACTCGCGCCCTTCCGAGCGTGGGCATTCCCAGAGAGACTCCTCGCTCCCGGCGCACTCAACCACGTACGGCCACGCTGTCCCCGGCCCGGGGCCGAAGCGCGCCGAGCCGGGGGCCTCCAGTGCCGCGCCACAGCCCAGCTCCCGGCACACAACGGCGGCGGCCCGCAGGTCCCAGCGCTCCTGGCACACGCTGCTCCAGGTGCCACCGGCATAGACCTCCACGCGCCCGGCGCAGCGCCCGGCACCGCCCGCCAGCCTCACCCGCCGGCTGCCTGCGGGCACGGAGGGACCGGGCTGGGGGCTGCTCGGGGCACCAGCACCCCGGCCCTTCTCGGGACACCCACCTGAGCAGACGATGGCTGCCCCGTGAGGGATGTCGGTTGGCCCGGTGGTCATGTCCCCGATTATTAAGTCGTTCAGCCAGACAGGCATCTCCTGGTTGGTCATCTTCCAGAGAGTGTGGACCACTTCTATTGTAATGTTCTGCTCTGAATCGCTCATGTTCCACACGGGGACCGTACCAACGACAGCATGGCTCTTGTCCAGCCCACCACAGCCCAGCTTCCCACACACCACACTGAAATTCCGTTCAGCCAAAACCTCTCCTGGCACACGGCGCCAGACCCCAGAGCTTATGGCCAACTCCAGCCACCCGTCACATCGGCTCTCACCCTCCACCAGCCGCACGGAATTCACGATGCCTGTAAAATGACCTGGCTCAGCGCTCCCTTTACCCCAAAACAGCCCTGAGTGCTCCGCTCCCAAGTCTTGGGGTGTCCCAAAAGCCCTTGGAGGCTCTTCCCACAGGTGCCACACAGACCTGAGCAGTTGACGGCGGCGGCGTTCCCCGGGCTGCAGGGGGGCTCCCCCAGCACCGCCACGGGGCACTCGCCCGGGTGCCGCTCGCTCCCGCTGCAGCCGAAGGCGTCCGGCCTCAGCGGCCCGTCCCCGCTGCCGAAGGAGCCTCCCGGGGGCACGGTGACGGCGTGGCCACAGCCCAGGTGGCGGCACAGGACGTCGGCATCGGGCAGGTCCCAGTCGGTGGCGCAGACGGACCCCCACGTGCCCCTCACCTCCACCTCCACCCGCCCGGCACAGCCCGAGCTGCTGTTCCCCAGCCGGAAGCCCGTGTAGGCTGTGGCAGAAAGGGCATTCAGGGGGGTGATGCTGGGGGGACCCCTAACACCCCCCGGTGTCCCCGGTGCTTACGGGAGCAGATGATGGTGGCGTGGCCAGCGCAGCCCTGGCTGTGGGGCACCCGCCGGGCGCAGGCGCTGAGGAGGGGCTCGCTGCCGGTGCAGTTGAACCCCCCCTCCCACAGCGGCCCCGTTCCCGCCCCAAACCGGCCGCTGCCGGGGATGGCCAGCGCCGTGCCGCAGCCCAGCTCCCGGCACACCACCTGGGCCACCTTCATGTCCACGTGCTCCGCGCAGACGCCAACCCAGGCCTGGCGCTGCCGCACCTCCAACCGCCCGGCACAGGCTCTGTCACCTCCAACCAGCCGGGAAAACCCTGCAGGAGCAGTGCAGAGTTGGCACTGAGGGATGTGCCGGGAGTGCCGCGTCCCTCCCAGCCCGGCTCCTACCTTGGCAGATGACAGCGGTGTCAAAGTCGTCTTGGAAACCATTGTAGGGTCCCCAGCCGCGGATCTCGCAGTCCCAGAGCGTGGCCTCGTCCCCCTTGCAGTCCACCAGGATCAGGTTGACGAGCCCACCCCCAGTGCCAAAGCGGTCGCGGGCGGAGTAGGCGCCGGCAGCCGAGCCACAGCCCAGCTGCTGGCACACCACCTCGGCATCATCCATGTCCCAGATCTCATCTGCCACCGAGCCCCAGTGTCCCCGCAGCTTCACCTCCACCCTCCCGGCACAGGGACCGCCGCCCACCAGCCTCAGCTCCACGGCCTCTGCACCGGGACACCGGCACAGCTCAGCCCTGCCCGGCACACCCTGGCACAAGGTGGGTGTCCCAGCATGGCCAGCCTGTCCCCCTCACCTGTGCAGGTCACCCCCATGTCCCACTCGTGGCCGCAGGAGTGCTGGCCCCATCCGAAGTTCCGACACTCCTCCAGCACCTCCTCGGTGCCACGGCAGTAGAGCTGGAGCCAGATCCGGCCGCTGCCCTGCCCGAACGGGGCGTACAGGGACGACGAGGCCACGCGGCCACAGCCCAGCTGCCGGCACACCACGGTGGCCCAGAGGGCTTCCCAGTCGAAGTCGTAGGCGCAGACAGAGCCCCACTCACCGTCGTGATTCACCTCCACGCGTCCGGCACAGCGCCCGCCGCCCCCCACCAGCCGCAGCTGCCCGGAGCCTGCGGCACAGAGGGGCCTGAGCCGGGCCCGGCACCGGCGGGTCCCCGCTCCCACCACCCCGCCACTCACCCTCACACAGCTGCAGGCACAGCAGCAGCCCCAGAGCCACGACCGGCCCCATCCCCGACAGGTCCCGCACCCCCTGCGCAGGCAGGGGATGATGTAGCGGCAGCGCCGGAGCCGGTGCAGGCGGCAGCACCAGGGGAGCCTTTATCAGCCGAGGGATCGCCCAGCTGCGGGGCCACAGCCTCCAATAACCTGCTTCGTGCCCAAATATGAGGCTCGGCTCTGCTTCTGGCGTCACACACCTCGCCACAGTGGGCCGGCACACGGATGTCCCCGGGGGGAGCCGCCCCCCCCAGCACCTGGGCCGGGGGGGCCCCTCCTGTTTCCCCCCGTGAGTCCAACTCTGCCGCTGGAGCCCGGCCAGAGCCATCCCCGCGCTGACAGGATTCAGCCCCAATCCCGCCGGAGCCTCCACGGGACCGCCCCGAGGAGCGGCTGGAGGCAGAGCCCCGGGGCCCCCTCCCCGGGTGCCCCCTCCCCGGGCGGTGGGAGCAGCCCCCGGCTCCCCGCGGGGGCGGCGGGTCCCGGTGCCTCGCGCGGGCGGTGGCACATGGCGGGGCTGCCGCAGCTGTGCCCCCGCGCTCGCCTCGCCGCCGGGGCAGGAAGGAGGCGGTCACCGCCCGCCGGGGACGCGGCCGAGGCACCGACCGCACGCGGCTCCTGCCACCTGCGCCGGCACCGATAACGCCGCCGCTCTGCGCGCCGGCACCTGGGCACGGGCAAGGCACGGGGGGGCACAGAACCCACTCGGTGGGGCACCCGCCTGGGTGAGCCGGCACCGAGCACCACCGCAAACAAGGCGCGCGGGAGGGGGGAGCAGCAGCTCCATCGGGGTCTCGCTTGTGCCTGAGGGTGAGGACGGGGCTGAGCCGCTGCTGCAGTGCCAGTGCCGGGGGAACAGCGTGTTCCCGGCGGGGTCACACCTGCAGCGGCGCAGGAACCGCCACCTGCCGCCAGTCCCGCGTGGGACCGGGCACCTGCCACATGCCAGCGCCCCCGTGTCACCCCGCCGCGGCTTGTGGGGCTGCTCCCAACCCTGGAGAGCCCTGGGGTGTCCCCATGGTGTCGCATGGACCTGCCACAGCTGCCCGGCCCTCCCGCCTGCACGGAGACCCGGCCGGGCCGGCAGCAGGGGACGGCACAGCTCCGGTCTCCCCGCGGCGGGCGGGGACCCTGGCAGTGGTTCCCGGGGACACCGTCAGCGCCTCCCACTCCACCCTTCCAAGGACACGGCACCGTGTCTGTCACAGGCGCTGGAATGGGGCCCGGGATGGGGGGGCGGGAACCCCCGCCCATGGCCCCGCCCCCGCCCGCGCGGAGCCCACGCCCCGCAGCGCCCCCGCCGGGCCGGCAGGGGGCGCCGCGGGCGGCCGCGCAGCTCCGGAAAGAGCCGATCGACGGCGGAGGCGGCCGAGCCGGGGCGGGCGGCGCAGGCGGAGGGGACGCGATGGCGCAGCAGGTCGAGCAGCTGCGGGCGGACGGCGTGCACAAGGAGGTGCTGCGGGAGGGCACCGGGCCGCTGCCGGACTTCCGCGACGGCACCAAGGTCAGGGCCGCGGCGGGACGGGCGGGGGCGGGGGGGGGCGAGGGAGGGCGACGGGAGCAGCAGGACGCGGGGGCGAAGCGCGCATGCGCCGCCCCCCTCCCTTCTGTGTTGCCATGGTGATGCCGCGGGCTCCTCCTGCCACTTCAGGCCACCTTCCATTACCGAACGCTGCGGTGCGACGATGAGGAGACGCCGCTGGACGACAGCCGAGCGCGGGGGAAGCCCATGGAGCTGATCGCCGGGAAGAAGTTCAAGCTGCCGGTGTGGGAGGCGGTGCTGCGGACCATGCGGCCGGGGGAGCGTGCGCGCTTCCGCTGCGACACCAAGGTGGGCGTGGCCTGCACAGGGGGGCGGGGTTTGCTGCTTAGGGGCGGGGCTTGCGGCCGCCCCGCTGCGCCCCAGCCGGGGGGCCGAGGCTGGAGCACCCCCGTGTTCGCCTTCCCTCCCCACATCCCGGCTCCCTCCCCTCCCGCAGCACGTGGTGCTCTACCCGCTGGTGTCCAAGAGCCTGCGGAACATCGCAGCGGGGAAGGACCCGCTGGAGGGCCAGCGGCACTGCTGCAGCATCGCCCAGATGCATGAGCACTACTCCCTGGGGTACCCCGACCTCGACGAGCTCCAGAAGAACCCCCAGCCCCTCATCTTTGACATCGAGGTGCTCAAGGTGAGGGACCTGCTCATGCCAGCCAGCAGCATCCCTGCCCCAGGCGGGGGCTGTGGGCACTGGGGCTCTGCCCTGATGGAGAAGGGTCTGGAGCACCAGGAGGGGCTCAGCCTGGACAAGAGGAGGCTCAGGGGGAACCTTCTTGCTCCCCACAACTCCCTGACAGGAGGGTGGAGCCAGATGGGGGTCAGGCTCTGCCCCCAGAGAACAAGGGGAGACAGCCTCAAGTTGTGCCAGGGGTGGTTCAGGTTGGATATTGGGGGAATTCCTTCATGGAAGGGGTTGTCCAGCCCTAGCACAGGCTGCCCAGGGCAGTGGTGGAGTTACCATCCCTAGAAGTGTCCAAAAAAACACACAGATGTGGCACACGTGGACGTGGTTTAGTGGCGGCCCGGGCAGTGCTGGATTTAATGGTTGGACTCCATGGTCTTAGAGGGCTTTTCCAACTAAGTGATTCCATGATCCTATTCTCTGATTCCATGATGGGGTGCTGACAGGTGGAGCCGCCCGGCTCCTACCAGCAGGACCCATGGGCCATGACGGATGAGGAGAAGCTCCAGGCTGTGCCCCTGATCCACAAGGAAGGCAACGAGCTGTACCGGCAGGGCAAGGTGCCCGAGGCAGCTGCCAAATACTACGATGCCATCGCCTGTCTCAAGAACCTGCAGATGAAGGTGGGGCCCCCCGGATGCACACAGGCATGGCCCCTGGAATGCAGGGCTTCGGAGCTGCCCCTCACTCTCCCTGCTCTCTCTCACCCCGCAGGAGCAGCCGGGCTCTCCGGACTGGATCGAGCTCGACCAGAAGATCACACCCCTGCTCTTGAACTACTGCCAGTGCAAGCTGCAGAGCGAGGAGTACTACGAGGTGCTGGATCACTGCTCCTCCATCCTCAACAAGTACGAGGGTAAGGAGCCAGGGTCCATCCCGGGCGGCTGCAGTGGGCACGGGGAGATGCCGGCGCTCCGCTGACCCCCGGCTCTGTCCCCCAGACAACGTCAAGGCCTACTTCAAGCGGGGCAAGGCCCACGCGGCCGTGTGGAACGTGGCGGAGGCGCAGGCTGACTTCGCCAAGGTGCTGTCCCTCGACCCCTCACTGCACCCCGTGGTGTCCAAGGAGCTACGGAGCCTGGAAGCGCGGCTGCGGGAGAAGGACGCCGAGGACAAGATCCGCTTCAAGGGCATCTTCTCCCAGTAGAGCCCACGGCCACAGCGGAGAGCCCAGCGCTCTCGGGACAGGTTCCTTTAGATATTCCACATGTGGAATGGTCATGGATGTTTATTAATGTTTAATACAGATTTTACTTATTTGAAGTCAGTGGAAGTGGCCCTGGAGCTCGCCGTGGCCCAGGGACATGGCCAGGCACTTAAGTGGCAGCGTAAAGCGTCGCAGCACACGGCTGAAGCTCTTTGCTGGGCTCTAGACTCTGCTCATTGTCACACCAGGGACACGTGGGTGACAGGAGCCCGCTGCTCCCTGCCAACTTGTATCCCTTATTTGATGTTTTTATACTTTATGGTGGCCACACAGCCTCGGCCCCAGCTCCAACCCCTTCCTGCCTGTTCTCTGTGCCACACTGTTGTCACTTCTCCAGGCTGCTGCTATCACCCCAAACCAGTGTTTCCTCTCATCATGTCAGCGTCGGGAATATTTTATATAGAATAACGGCTTGTTCCTGCTATCTCTATAAACCTCCAGTCGTGCTATGACAAGATAAACTCAAGTAAAACCAGTCACAGCCCCTGGTCACTGAAAATCTGCTGTTAGAGGTAAATGAGGGAAAAAAAGTTGGAGGGAGGCAGGAAGAGGGCTGGAGGAGGTTATCGGTACATACCCTAGAGCAGCGGCGCAGCCCACACACCCCAGGCTTTTCTCCTTGTCCTAAATTGCTGTGCCCCAAGGCCACGTCCCTGTGTGACTCCGTGTCCCTGAGGGTACCCCAGGGCCTTCCCAGAGGGTGGGAGTGCTGAGGCCATGTCCAGGGGCAGTGGGTACAGAGCAGGCACGGGGGCGCCGGCGCCTCGTCGTAACATCTCTTTATTCAACACCGAAACAAAACAGGGGCAACAGAGGAACCGCTCTGGAACCCCAACCCAGCCCTGCCCCGCGACACCGGACGGAAATAAATAGGTGGGGAGCAGGGAGGTGCCACTTGCCTTGGGGCACAGCCACAGCCCCCCAGTTCTGCACAGGGACAGTGACCCCAGGGCACAGACTCCACCAGGCACTGCCCAACAGCCCCAAGGGACATGGGAGGGACGGGGCTGGGGGCAGTCGGGGGGACCCGGGGGGGCTCAGCCCCAAGGGGATCACTCTGGCCCTCGGGGGGGCTCGGAGTGCTGTCTCCCAGCACCCCTTGGTCACAGGGGACCCAGCGCCCTCATCTCCTTCCTATGGGCTCATGGCTCAGTGCCGGCTCCGGCCCCAGGTGCTGCTGGCTGGGAAATTAGGGATCACAGTGGAGGGGGGACATGGCCGTGCCACCCTCACTCCTCACCCTCCAGCTTGAGGCTGACGCTGCGGGGCTTGGCCCGGGCCAAGCCAGGGGGTGCCGAGGGGGGCCCCCCATCCCGCTCTGCCTGGCTGGAGCCCCGGGAGCGCAGCAGTTGGCTCTGCTTCCGGAGGAAGTCGACGGGCGCTGGGCAGCCGTAGGTGCCTTTGCCCAGCACGGGTCGTGGGGGCCCCTTGGGGGAGTGGGCCAGAGCTGCCGCTTCCAGCTGGGCCAGGTGGGCGACATAGCCTTCGGAGAGAAACTGCGGGACACATGGACAGCCTGAGCCCACGGCAGCGGCCGGCTGGTGGGGTCAGCCATCATGCCATGTCCCCAGCCTGTCCCCAACCCTGCCACCATCATACCTGGCACTGGTTGTGGAACTTCTTGACGGCCCGTCCCACGATGTAGATGTGTGCTGGTGCGAGGCCCAGCGAGCTGTAGACTGAGACATCCTTGGTGGAGCCGTACCCAGCGATGATGGAGATCTCTGCCTGCCCAGGGACAGGAGTGTTAGGGCACGGAAAGACCCTACCCACAGGGACAACCACCCCATGGGCTGGGACACCCTCGTGCTATGAGGGATGGCTGGGGGCTGCCCCCAGAGGCTGCCAGCTCCACCATGGCAGGGGGGTCCAGCTCCCAGTGTCTCCATGGGGACGCAGAGCTGCACAGGCTGCAGCACAGCCCACCCTGCCACTGCCCCCAGCCCCGTGTCCCCCCCGCCAGTGCCCCGTGCCCACCTCAGTGCGCAGGC